AGATGAAGGGGCTGCTGGGGTGCCCTAATCCAATCCAGACCGGGGTCCTCACAAGAAGAGAAAATATGGACACAGAAGAGGCACCAGGGATGGGCACACACACATAGGAAAGCCCATGTGAAGCACAGTGGCCATCTGGAAATCAAGGACAGAGACCCCAGAAGAAATCAAACCTGCAGACACCTCAGTCTCGGACTTCCAGCTGCCAGAACAATGAGAAAACACATTTCTCCAGTTTAAGCCCCCCAGTCTGTGGTGTTTCGTTATGGCAATCTTAGCAAACTCAATACAGGGGGGAATCCATTTGATTATCTACCATCTTGGGGGTGGGAGGATGTTTCAAACACAAGCAGTTAGCTAATTAATTCAAAATCTGACCTTTCAATATAGAATCCATCCTGCCATCCTTTGTCTCCAACTTAAATATCAACCATCCCTTGCTCTCTGAGAGTAGGTGACACAGGAGAATGCGGGAGGAAATTTCGAAGGCAGCAGGCACACCAAGCTAAATCCCACGCTGTGTGCCCCCATCATTCAGGGTTCGTATGGACCTCAGTTAGCTTTTTTAAATGGGCCATCCTCAAGTATTCATAAAAAGGATATATGGATTAAGATCCAACTAGCGTTTACCAGTTGCCCGGCTATTAGACCTTGTAATGACAGCAATAATATTAACGAGCACTTATACATACACAGCACTGTTCTAAGGGCTTTATGCATATTTGCTCATTTAACCATCACGTGAACCTGGTGAAGTAGGTAGTATTAGCCCCAATTTACAAATGAAGTAACCCAAACTTGAAGAGGTTAAGAGACTTATAAAAATGTAGTTAACAATCGTACTGATCTCATAGGTTGTTGCAATATACGTCAAGTATCTCAAAAGGGACCTAAGACTTAGTAACATTCAACAAATGTAATTTATATTTTTATCAGACTGCCTCTCTGATCAATCAAGGTAAGATGGAATTTGGGAGTTAAGAGATCAATCAAGGTAAGATTGAATTTGGGAGTTAAGAGATACTTAAATGCCATTCATCTGTTTCCCAACTATTTATTCAGTAATTACCGCGTCAGGCAGGGTGCCAAACCCTGGGTAATAACGAAAAGGAAATACCACAACCAAGACGTCTTAGAAGAAAGGCAGGAAAGATAAGCCAGGTTGTTAGCAGTGATTACCTCCAGGAAGTGAAACGGGGGAGAAGTGACCTCCAGGTTTCAACTTCATACGCGTCTGTACTCTGACTTTAATTTTTAATAAGCAAAAATTGATTTTGTAATTTAAAAACCAGTTGAGGAGAAAAGATTTTCTAAAAACATGAAGGCTGAGATTGTGATCAATCAACCTCAGTCAATGATTCAAGAAAAAAAGAGGCTCGGTGCCTGTGACTCAAGTGGCTAAGGCGCCAGCCACATACACCTAAGGTGGCAGGTTCGAATCCAGCCCGGGCCCACCAAACAACAATGACGGCTGCAACCAAAAAAAAAAAAATAGCCAGGCGCTGTAGCGGGCGCCTGTGGTCCCAGCTACTTGAGAGGCTGAGGCAGGAGACTTGCTTGAGCCCAGGAGTTGGAGGTTGCTGTGAGCTGTGATGCCATAGCACTCCACCCAGGGGGACAGCTTGAGGTTTATCTCAAAAAAAAGAAAAAGAAGAAAAGAAAAATCTATGGCAAGTCCACCTTGCAAAAGATGAAAACACAAGTAGTCTCTGCCTTCAAAGGTTTACAATCTGCTTGGGCAAACAGGACCAAAGTTACCCCCAAACACAAAGCAGTCAGTAAACGCCTGGTGAGCAAGAGCAGCACAAAGTTCAAAGACTAGATAAGTGGTCTTTAAAAAATAACAGTCTGGGATGGCAATTAGCAAAGCTTTATTTAGCTGATGAATTACAGATCTGGGGTTTCCATGAAAGCAAAAGGAGGGTTTTAGGCTGGAATCCACCTTTGGTCACCTGAATATGGAAATCAATCCAGCAGTCAGTAGGGAAATGAATAATCAGAAAGATGGAACTCTGGCCCTTGAGTTTAATGCTCCACTTTATATAAAAAGTCCTGAGTCTATGACTAAGAATTGAATTTTCAGGCAGGTCACAGTCATAAATCAGAGATGCGTCAAAGTACTAGAACCACTGCTAGTGAGCTTAAAACGGAAAAGCCACTGCATTGATTCATCAGTAGCTGGACACGGTTAACATTTACCAATTTGATTTAATTGGTGGTTTAGATCTGTTGTCCCACTTGCTCCTCACCTGCACCCCACTATTTACCATTGCCAGTGGTCTCAAGGTCATCTTGACATCCTCCATGCTAGCAGAATGCCTGGCAAAATCCTGAAAGGTTTACTCAGGTGAATCCAGTGACTCAACTTGATGGCTTTTCTCCAATGACCTTATTGGAGCAAAACATTAATATTGACCTGGGCCAGGTGCCATGGCTCACACCTATAATCCTAGCACTTTGGGAAGCCAGGAGGATTTTTTTTTTTAAAGACAGAGTCTCACACTGTTGCCCTTGGTAGAGTGCTGTGGTGTCACAGCTCACAGCAACCTCTAACTCTTGGGCTTACGTGATTCTCTTGCCTCAGCCTCCCAAGTAGCTGGGACTACAGGTGCCCACCATAACACCCGGCTATTTTTTTGTTGCAGGTATCGTTGTTTAGCTGGCCTGGGCCAGGTTCAAACCCATCAGCCTCCATGTATGTGGCTGACGCCCTGCCCACTGAGCTATGGGCACTGCCCCATTTTTATTTTATTTATTTTTTTATTTTTGAGATGGAATCTCACTCTGTTGCCCAGGCTGGAGTGCAGTGGCATGATCACAGTTCACTGCAGCCTTAATCTCCTGGGCTCAAGTGATCCTCCCACCTCAGCCTCCCAAGTAGCTGGCTACATGCCACCACACCCAAGTACATGCCACCTACAGGTACATACCACCACACCCAGCTAATATTACTTTCTTTCTTTCTTTCTTTTTTTTTTTTTTTGGTAGACAGCCTCACTATGTTGTCTAGGCTGATCTCAAATTCCTGACCATAAGTGATCCTTCTGCCTCAGCCCCTCAAAGTGCTTAGATTATAGGTGTGAGCCACCAAACCTAGAATACAACAAACTGGTTTTTTTTTGAGACAGAATCTCACCATGTTGCCCTGGGTAGAGTGCTGTAGCGTCACAGCTCACAGCAACCTCAAATTCGAGGGCCTAAGCGATTCTCTTGCCTTAGCCTCCCAAGTAGCTGGGACTACAGGTGCCCACCACAATGCCCAGCTATTTTTTATTTGTTTGTTTGTTTATGGTTGCAGTTGTCATTATTGTTTAGCAGGCCCGGGCTGGACTCAAACCCACCAGCTTTGGTGTACATGGCTGGTGCCCTACTCACTGAGCTACGGGCGCTGAGCCTACAACAAACTATTAATAGCAACTGTTCACATCTGCTTAAGATTCCTCAATGAAAGTATATTATTTGCATAATAAAAATTAACAAAGCAAAAATAATCATTGGTGTTTACATGTTGGCTTCTTTTTTGCTAATTTAGCTGGACACGGCACCCTGCCTCACTAGCATGGTCACCACCAGCAGACTCAGGGGAAAAAAACAACCTTGAGGCTCAGGAGACCAACTCCATTTGTGGCCCTCTGATGAGGGTGGCCTTCCTCCCCATGGGTGTACAGAAACAAAACCCATAATACTCTCATCGCTCACCTCAAAGTAACAGGCTACCACTAACACTTTAGAAACAAACCCATAATACGCTCATCGCTCACCTCAAAGTAACAGGCTACCACTAACACTTTGGTTTTGTTTTCTTCCTTTTACATCCTTAGCTAAGCATCAAGATATACTAAAAGGATAAATTCTATGTGCAAAAAAAAAAAAAAATACACATTATTCTTGGAAAGCAGGACATAATAGGGCTGCTGAAAACAACTGGATATGGAACAGAAAATGCAGGTTTTAGTCAGAAAATCTAGATTCCAGTTCTGATGTCAGTCAAGTCCTTTTCCTTCCAGATGTCCCGCCTATGAGAATGCAGTTCACTTTATGTAACACCTACCATTGACCGGGTGCTGTTTGTTAATGGAAGGACCAATGACACTGTGCAAGTTTAAAATGGGCTTTGCAGAGGTAACACAAGCAGAGTAGGGACTGGCCAGCCTGCTCCACAGGTGCTGAAGGAATCAGATGCCACCCACCTCTCCTACCTCTCAGCTGGTCACTCACTGTGATATCTCCCAGGTGGGAAGCTGCTCAACTGACCAGAGTCAGCGCCTGCTTGAGAGCTCCCTGGGCTTGTGAGGAGGCTGCTCTACTGTTGGTTTTCACTGACCTGCTGTCTTATTACATCGGGCAGGGCTCTCACCCCTGCAGTCACTCGAGTTCGTGGCCGAGCTGCAGGTCTTATACTGGGGAGGAGGCGTGCCTACGGCTCTAAGGGGCCACTAAGCAACCCCACCCCCCACCAGGTAAATTTTACAAACTATATTTAAGTCAGGCCATCTCAAGTTTGAAGAAAACCCAACCAGTCCTTCTCAAGCAGTAACAATTACATCTCCATTCAGTGGTTCTCAACCTTCCTAATGCCGCGTCCCTTTAATACAGTTCCTCGTGTTGTGGTGACCCCAACCATAAAATTATTATCGTTGCTACCTCATAACTGTAATTTTGCTACTGTTATGAATTGTAATGTAAATATCTGTCTGATATGCAGGATGTGTTTTCCGATGGTCTTGGAGGTCGCGCGACCCACAGGCTGAGAACCACTGTGTATCATACGTATGCCTTTTGCTGAGGGGCCGGAATGAAAAAACGCTGACCTCAGCCATAAATGAAGTGTTTAAAGTTCAAATTCTCCCTAACAATTAGGCCAAAGAACTGGGCATTTTGTTGAAACCCAAAGCAAAGTAAATGGATACGTGGGAGGTACACATTGAATGCCCCCCACAAACACACACAATATGCTGAACTTGGCCTTTCCCACTAAGCAAGGCTGGGGGGATACTCACCCACACACCTTTTCCCATCCTCAGCCAGAGTGTAGCCGCTGTAGCACTGGCAGACGAAGGAGCCTGGCACGTTCACGCAGAGCTGCTCACAGGCATGGTCCTCCGTGGCACACAGATCCTGGACTGAGGCAAAGTAGCACCATTAGGACGCAGCACCGGGGGAGAGGCCCTCTCAGCACTGGCTACACAACGAGCAGCCTTGTAGCACGTGCCAAAATGACTCTTAAAAGCATTATAAGGATTAATATGTGATTGTCCTAGGAAGTTTGGAAAACATAAACAAGTAGATAAAAGAAAACCCACCTGTAATCCCCCCCACTTGTACTCCTACCACCCAGACTCCTCCCCTTTTCCCCCTCGCACTTTCCCCCCACTTGAATTGAATTGAGTTTTCTCTTATGTGGGTGTATATTAGATTGTCTACTGGTTTCATATTAGTATTGAGTACACTGGGTACTTTTCCATTCTTTTGATACTTTACTAAGAAGAAGGTGTTTCAATGCCATCCAGGTAAATACAAAAGATGTAAAGTCCCCATCTGTTGGCTTGGCACCTATAGCTCAAGCAGCTAAGGCACCAGCCACATACACCTGAGCTAGCGGGTTCAAATCCAGCCTGAGCCTGCCAAACAACAATGATGGCTGCAACCAAAAAATAGCCAGGCATTGTGGCAGGTGTCTGTAGTCTCAGCTACTTGGGAGATGGAGGCAGGGGAATCACTTGAGCCCAGGAGTTAGAGGTTACTGTGAGCTGTGATACCACAGCATTCTACCCAGGGCGAAAGCTTGAGGCTCTGTCTCAAAAAAAAAAAAAAAAAGTCCCCATCTGTTTTTATGGCTGAATAGCAGTCCATGGTATACAAATACAACAATAAAAATATTTTTTTCAAAGTTGGAATAATTAATTGCCTCTATGAAATACAGTAAACAGTGTTTAATTAATATCAATTTATGTTTTCTTTCTTTCTTTTTTTTTTTTTGAGACAAAGTCTCACTCTGTCACCCTCAGTAGAGTGCTATGGCATCATAGCTCACAGGAACCGCAAACTCCTGGGCTCAAGCTATTCTCTTGCCTCAGCCTCCCATGTAGCTGGGACTACAGGCACCCAACACAACACCTGGCTATTTTTTAGAGACAGGGTCTCGCTCTTACTCAGGCTGGTCTCGAACTCCTGAGCTCAGCTAATCCGCCTGCCTAGGACTCTCAGAGTGCTGGGATTACAGCTGTGAGCGACCAGGCCCAGCCTAATTTATATTTTCTTACGTCAATGAAAGGTGCTCTGAAAATATCTTGATGGCCCTGGAGAACTGTCAGTTTTCACAAGCGGCATTTGCACTCGTTGGCATCAAGCTCCCCCTCCTTTGGGATCTTGAAGTGCTGTGTAATCACAGTCTCGCTGATGTACACCGAGATGATTCAGCGCTTTGACATTCTACAGATGGGGTGGCTGGTGTAGGAGCCAATCAAAAGACCTGCTGTTCCACCAAAACTCAGCCAGTCTAAGAATAGCCCTGAATTCCCACATCGGCACCGTTCCCTTTGGAGATAATTTCTTCAGTCCATTTGCTTACCAGAAGGATGTTTGAAAATCCTCTTTGTGCTCTGTTTATCCCAGTGACAAATGAGGAGGATGGAAAAGCCAAAAGATGTTAGGTAGGGGTAACAAAGATTACCAAGAAGTGGATGGAGGGCCATCTGTGGTCTTATTTTGGTCAGATGTTTATTACATGTCCACCAAGTGCTGCGCTCTGGCTGTCCATACACATGCAGGGTGGTAATGCACTCACAGAATACATCTATTGCAATAGGACTAAGAACATGTCAGAGAGTGAAAAGGACAAAAGCCTCTTCAATCCATCAGTCTAGGGCACTATTTCCCAGCAAGAACAGCTTGGATGGGCCCGGCACAGTGGCCTCATGCCTGTAATTCTAGCACTCTGGGAGGCCAAGACAGGAAGATGGCTTGAGCTCAGGAGTTCAAGACCAGCCTGAGCCAGAGCAAGACCTGGTCTCTAAAAGCAGCCGGGCATTGTGGCAGGCGCCTATAGCCCCAGCTACTAGGGAGGCTGAGGCAAGACAATCACTTGAGCCCAAAAGTTTGAGGTTGCTCTAAGCTAAGACATCATGGCACTCTACCTAAGGTGACAGGGTGAAACTCCTGTCTCAAAAAAAAGGTTTAGGCCTAAGATTCCACAAGTGAGAATTCTGGTTTTAAAATCCTGAAAAAGAGCATTTTCATGCCCAAATCAATTAAGTATGCGAATGAAATTAGAGATGCAAAGTCCTTTACCTCTTACGAGTAGGTTTCTGTCTTAGATTTCTAGTGGGAACCCCCAAATGGGACTTCCAGTGGATTTTGATGTAAGGAAAACACCAAGAACCGGAAAAAACTGCAGCCAACGTGAAAAGCAAAGTGAACAATCAAAGAATAACAAAACCTCCAGTTAGTTCTAAGCCCCAGGCAGAGATACCGCCTGAATCATAGGCTATTCACTCATTGACCGGATAAACACACGTTGAGCACCACTGTGTCCCAGGCGTGGGGGAGTCAGCAGTGGGCTACCGAGAGAAGGGGTCCCGCTGTTGTGCAGCGTGCATTCGCTCTGGGTTAGTACACGAAGGTGTGAGGCAGCACTTCTGGCTAGAAGAGCAAATGCAAAGGTCCTGCGGGAGGACAAACCTGCCCCCTTTGAGTAACTGAAAGGACGAAGTGGCTAGCAGATGCCGTGTAAATAACTACAGTATGAGGTAGAACGGGACAGAAACCCCTGAGAGAGATGCTGACACAGCTATGGGAGTCAAACAGGGAGAGGCGCAGGGGCGCGGAGACAGAGAAATGGCATTCCAGGCTGGGAAGTGTGAGTCAGTGTGCAGAAGCAGAGGAAGGCAGGACAGGTGCGGATGGCAGCTGACTCCACACGGGGAACTCCAGAGGAAGAGGCAAGAGAGAGGATGGGGCAGGCTGCGGACGCCAGATAGCAGAGGGCTGTCTGTACAGGGGCTGAGCCATCTGCACGCCATTCAGCAGCAATGGGGACCACGGAGGGCTCATCCTTAAAGGGGGAGACCTGCCATCTCACCTGAGTTGGACTTCTGAGAGAGAGACCTGGCAGCCCCACAGAGCTCTCAGCTCTGGGAAACTTCAAGGACTTCTAGCGCAGTTAAATGAAAATCACAACTTTGGGAATGGCAGTAGGTTTCTGAATTCCGGGTTGAGTTTGCCTGCATGGTGATGGGGATTTAACCTCTTGCTATGGGCGTTTTCAGTGTTCTTGGAGCTTGTGGCCTCACCCATCAGTGTCAGCACCCCCTGCACTTTTCCCCTGTTAGTTACATATGTGTGTATGTAGTGACAGGTTTGCTGTGTCTGTGGCACTAGGCTCCCAGCCCAACGAGTGGGCAGGCAGCATCCTCCGCACAAAGTCCTAATGGCTAGAAAGCGACATTCCAGCATGCTGGACCCAGCTGCCCTCCAAAGTCCCAAGTTGGTCTCTGGAGGGGAGGTAGCAGGGCCCTCCCACTCTCTGCTGCAGAGACTGCTTTGCCCCCTCAGGGTCCCACAGGTACCTCTTCTAACCGTGGTTACCTAGGAGTGCTGGGTGTACAGGTGACTTTTATTCTCCTACTTAGAATCATCTCATTTCAAATTTTCCAAGAGTTTTTATATAACAATAATGGGGACAAACCAACATATTATATTATAAAAGAACCCTTTTAAAGGTAGCATTTCAAAAGCAATGAACCAGAACCTTGAAGAAACAATCATTTCTTTTCCAAAAGACTTCCTTCCCTCTCCAGGGCAGATGGAGAGAGACGATGAAATGCTTATTCCTTTTAGGACAGGCTGGGACACCCCCATAAAGTCTGTGAATAACAGCAAGGTGCCAGCTACAGAGGCAGCAGTCCCCAACCTCAGCTTCGCATCAGAACTGCCTGGGGACCTTATGAAACTCTTGCTGCCAACATACTGCCCACCCCCGATCAGATCAGATATGTTGAGGCAGGATTCGGGCAGCGGTGTTTGCTAAAACTCCCTAGAGGGCCCAGGGTACAGCTGGGCTAGGTGTCACTGACCCTAACAGATACAAAGTCCCCACACTCCTCCAGGGGGAAGGTGCCCAGACCAGGAGTCAGTCGCCCCCTTTATTAATTGAGATCCCAACACTCGTCTCCTCTCTTCATTAATCTCAGGTGACTGCTGCCTTGCTCCCTTCTCCAAGTGGCTAGAAGAGCCTCAGACTCCTCCTGGAAGGTGCAAAGGTAGTGGGCCCAGGTGGGATTGACGCTCACACTCCAGAAGGAATGTCCCACTAACAGAAAGCTTGCCAGTTGGCTTCGTGTGCACTGTCCTTTTGTGCTGTTTTTAGAATGTCGGGGATTTATGGCCATAAGTGATTTGTACTGACCCAGGGGAAACCATTGAGGGATTAATCTAATTAAACAAGGACAAAAGAATAAATACAGACTGGGTTCTGACAAAACAACTTTGCTGTTTTTCTGGCAGTGGTCACTTCCTTTTGAAACAAATACAGATGTTTTTGGAAGATTCCTTATGCTTTTGGAAAACAGCACTTCTTTTAGCTGGGAGGATTCTGCTGAAGGGTGAGAAGCTCTGGGTTCTGAGCACCCATTACCCCTGGCACAGCCTTCCACCTTCCCCACATGGTGACCGCCCTGACTGCTCACAGCCCCCATCACATGTCACCCCCTCAGGGATGCCTTCTCCAAGATGACTGCCTTTAGGCTTCCTACCCTGGGCCCCCACAGCACCAGAGACATGGCGCAGCCTAGCATGCATGCCTTTATCCCATGTCACTGGGAGGACTTGATCACACGTCTGTCTGCCGATAGCATGAGCTGGTCTGACCCAGAGCCTCGTGTGGAATCCCAGCACACACATGGTTGGGCTCTGAAAGTGTTTATTTGCTGAATGATAACAAAGGCCCGTGTGCTTCACCTCCTAACAGGGATGTTCCCAAAGTCCTAAAAATACTCTTCTCCATCAGAAATGAGTCCTAGGAAGATGAGTGAGATGGGAACAACACTCTCTCCAAGTATATGCCTCTCCTCTTCCCCAGCAAGAGGTATTCCAGTCCCAGAAGAGGGCTCAGAGTATAGAGCCA